CTTATCTAGCTCAAACGTTTAGGGTTAATATCGTGTAGTATGCTCATTTTATATATATACTGTATGAAGAAACGCAAGCGGTAGGTTTAAAGCGAACAATTGTTTTCGATTTATTCATCATCAGGCTTGGTACAGAAATATACGTTTAGGGTAAACTAGGGCAGTAATCGTTCTCATGTATCTGCTCTGTTGTAGTTCATTTGAGTGCCCAATAGATTTTAGCCAGCTCCACTGGTAGATTGCTTGGCTAGCCAGTCAACTACCATCTACTTCCTTTGGCGTCCCTCACTCAAACCCATTTTCTCAGAGACTGAACACTTAGCATTAACCAGTGAAACGACTAGTGCATTGGTACACAAGACATACAAATCAGGTTTGGTATCTTTGTAGCCCAAATTTGAGTTACTCGTATGGTGAATACTTACAATCTACCAGTTCAACCAACATCGTCTTTCCAGGCTAGTGGTCCCCTAATATTATTGTTATACCACCGCGATACTAGTAACACCTCAACAAGTGCCTAAAAATGTTTTCGTTACAAAAGATTTCCCTGGCAAACCTCAGATACTGCATACATGCTATGTACATGATTCCCAGAATGCAGTTAAAAATTCTTTACAAAGTATCGCGATTTCTAAGCCCATACTCGTCATTTTTATATCCACTGTTCAATAGACAACACAATTACATTTATCAATTTCTCTCCGTTGATTGAGTTCTGTGGTGTAATTTGTTACGACGTTCTGTCTGAGTGATCATCATCAACTTCCGATGCACGATTTTGTAGGTAATCGCCTGATGATGTATTGCGGAAAATAGTACAAAACCTCATCATCTAAAAAAAAACAAATTCATTGCATTCACAATTCCTAATGAAACCTGTACAAGTGGGTTGGACGTGACGCACAACCTGTATCCATTTAGCTGGAGACTGAGTGTTACCTGCCCGAAAACACTGCAGTTTACTACGCGTTGCAATGTTGTTTGATCTCGTCAGGTAGATGTAGCAGGCATAGGACCCGGGGCCATTGGTATGTCAGTTATGACCAATACAGCTAAGCCACCGAGTCAATCCTTCATGTGAATGGATTGCAACGCGTAATCTCCATGTGAACTTTGGTCAATTCGATCATTGCGACCGTAACCAAAGCAGATGGAAATTGGATGTTCCCCCCCCCCACCCCCAGAAAGTATTAGAGGCCCTATCAAACATAACAATCGCCCTGGGTTCGAAGCGTACTACTTCCACCTTACGACATCAAACAAAGTCCAGACGCTCGGTGGATTGCAGTACTTTTGGACGAACAACACCCAATATCGTTCTGCTTTATTGTGTAAAAAAATAAATCACCAGCTGTAGGCCGTAAGGGCGCTTTGCTGCCACGCGACCACTACCAGTCGCGCAAGGGCTGAGCATACCGCGGAGGACTCCCGCCTTTACGTGGATTCGAACCGGTGACCTTATGGTTTCAAAGCGGACGCGCATCCCACTCGGCCGACGGTCTAGGTGATCGAATTGACCAAGGTTCACCTCACTGCGAAGTTGTTGTCCACGTTGAGATTGCAGGTCGCAATCCATTTACACAACGAGCACCTCCAAATGACCCTCAAATCAGTAGGCAAATGCTTTGCCCTACTGGGACGATCCAGCAACGCACAGTTCTTTCGGGCCTTTTGAGGCTTCTCGTAACTGCCGTATGGGATACAGTAATTAACAGCAAGACTAGTCCGAATGATGTACAATGCCCTGCGGTGGCTGACATTTTAGCAAGCAGAGTCGCTTCTCAGGGGGTTGGTGGCCCTTCTCATTATACGGAGAAATTAACTCTTGGCGTCTTAACCCGCACTACCCAGCTCCAAGGGCAACAACCTTCGCAACAGTCTTCCTTTAGGAATAAACATTGGAACAGTTTCCATTTGAGGCTCGATTTACTTTGTAGTGATCATTGGTCATTTCAGTCACTGGAATCATTTATAAAGCATACGTTGTTGGTGCTGATTACTTCTACCCAGCATTCCAAAACGGCCTTAACACTGATTTGCACACTTCGCCTTCCTGGTAGCGGGACTGTGACTTCCCCTGAGGATGTGGAGATTGCTAGTAAGCGCTTCGTCATCAACCCGTTGTGGTCCATAAGTGGCGCATACCACAACACTAAATATGTCATTCTTGATTCGCTTGAAGTACTTGAGGTTAGAACATATCACTACATGGATTCTCACTCATGGCCTCGAGTAGTTAGCGTAGCAACCTATGTCTGTTCAATAACCGGAACTCCATCTGAGGTTGTTAAGAATAAATTGTCGTTGTTCAAACCCAACGATTGCTCTGACATCTAACAAGCAACTCCCTGTGGTTTCGACAAGCGTTTTCAGTAGGATCCGATGGTTTAGTGGCATAGTTGACTGAAAAACGAGTGTCCCTTCCATCTTCTTTGACACAATTACCCAAAAAATACATTCTTCACGCCCATCGGTACAACGAGCGGAATTATCAAATTATCGCACCCGAAATAACAATCACAATAAAGTAAAAGTGAAAAGATCACGAACGAAACTGTCTGACAACTTTTTCCTAAATCGATACTCCATATTGTGGAACAGGCTTCCATCTGAGATACGTGCAATCCAGTCAGGGATGAAGTTCCGACACGTCATACATTCCTTTCTAAACGTCGAAACAGCGATCGGTATATTGCAACCTACCTTGACAAGTGAATCCCCATACGAAATAGGAGCAAGATGGATATAGTATCAATATCAGGGGATCTTTTTATTCTCCTGTTGCCCGATCTTACTGCCCTCCCCAAATTTATCAGTAGCAATAACGTGTTTTCTAAAGGCAAAAATATCCTGATTAACAATGAAGTTCACACTCACCAAGACGGAAATGTGCCCTAGAGTTCCTCTCGAGCAAATTATTTTGCGTTTGTTCTGCAATGCTAATTATCTTCTACTTATCTTTTCCCCTGGACCCCTCCCCTAGGTACGAGCTGCTGTGTTACGTGCTCAGCGAAATCAATGTTGATTTAATCCTTCTGCTTCTGGACTGAATCCATTTGATAACACCTTCCGAAAACCTACCATGATCTTCCACGCTTACGTTCACTCTGAACAAATCCCCTCATCGAAATCAGCTTCTCCTCTTACCGCACACAGCTGAACAGTTGGAACGACGGTTAACTTACTTTACTTTGCGTACAGTCTTCTCTCCCTCCCTGAAAAATACCATGCGTACATACAACATTTCCCAGTACCATACAAAATTATTTCGCATCACCAATTTTCCCATTTTGATCTCCGACAACTGCTGGAGCTATCTTACTATTTCCTCCGAAAATTCTTCTCCTTTTCTGTAAAAAACATGTATATTCCTGAGGTTGTCAGTTACCAGTGAAACTTGTACAATCTGAATCGAACAACGTCGGACAAAAATCTAGCATTTCACGTTACTGTACGTCCACCCACTTTTATTTGTGCACTACCCGACTTTGTTGTACCACATGATCAGGCTCGTAGTCTGCCTGTGTCTCGCATGTCGAGAAATATATCATTTATTTATTTATTTATTTACTGTCGCCATATAAATAGTTTAAACAGGAAAAACGATCATGTAGTTCAATTTTGTGAAAAGGGAGAATGAAACATAATGTATACAACTTAGTAATTAATACTCTGTTTCGGTCAGAAAGAATGTAGAAACTTTAGAAGAGGAGGATAGGCTTCAATTTGCCACCGTCTCAAATGTTACCTCGAGTGAGCTTGTTAACTGATGGAATGGTGACACTGTATGCCGATGTCCAAAACGATTACGAATGCCCTGCAGGATTTGTCAATATCCGGTTCTGGCCATATTCCTCAAATCGCCCTTACGAGAGTCATTTGGAGCCCTTTAGTTGGCTCCACTGAACTTTGGTGCACCGGTAACAGTCGAGATGTTCTTTGAACGGAAGTTTGAAATGGAGTCGCATTAAAGGACCCGCTGCGGTGATTCATTTGACCAGATTGCCTTTATCATTCTTGGTTCATATAACACCTACACTGCAAATGCCGCTGGCAGTCGAGATAATAGGACCCGGGACCACCTCACACAATTGTCGTGCCAAGGTGAGGGCAGTAAGAATTTTCGGCTGGCTTAACCCACTGACTTTGAAAGAGTTACTGCGAAACCAGACCGTCGACATGAAATCCTTTAACACAGACTGAGAGTTCAGAGAGCATTTCTTCCTGCCAACCACTGACATGCTATACTCTGCGGTTTCCTAGTACGGAGTTTTACCGCAGGAATCCCAGCTCTGGCATTTGGCCTAATAGACTTAATCACAATAAGTTAGGGAGTATAGAAGTAATCTCAAGTAACCGGCCTGGAGGCACGGACTCAATACGTTAACTCAGAGCATTGAGGAGGAAATGAAGGGGGTGAGGTTGCAAAGTCTGGTAATGGAACGCTTGCAAGCAAACGGCCTAACTCATAGAACGATCCATCCAGTTCTGGATTGTGACTGCAAAGTCCCATTAGTATCTACTTGAATTTCATTAACATTCGCAGGTTTCTAGAAAATTCATGCGCACCTATCCGTCTCACGAACTGATACATGTACTGCTATGGTCAAAAGCAGATGTGTTTTGGTGGTTTTTCACCTCAACGTCTACCTGGATTGGGACAAGTGACAGGATATCAGTGAGTAAGATTCGCTTTCTACCACCTTCGGAGCTTTTCTTGTGAAAAGATTTCGAATCTGCGCTATCCAATACCATTTCAAGTTGCCCTTTTTCGGAGACTTACGTTCCACTGCACATCCCAGAAACCGCGAGTTTACTTGGTAACAAATTGTAGGAAAGTCAACGCATAAAGTAGCTAATTGGCGCTAAATATATTGCATGGAAAAGCAGCTAAAAGTGGGTACGAATAGTGTTGCGGAAAATAGCTCATGATTTGTTGTTAAATGCGGTGCGTGAAGTGACGAGTGTAAGGTTCATGTTGCACGGTTTGATCGTGGATCTAGTCTTCTACAGTGTCAGCATAGTACTCTGTGGATTCTTCATCTAAGTACGGAGGGTTCAAAAACTCCAACTCGATGGTTTGCAGTGATTTCTGGGACCAGGGTGTAAAGTTTCTGTGCATCTGCTTGTAATCATCTCCGAGTGCTTTTACCAGACTGTCGAACGCATTCATCAAGTTGCCTTCTTGTGCCAATCCTTGGGTGCTGAGCTGTTGCTTCAACCGATCGATTTGCAGGTCGCGCTCTGTTACTGTCTCTGAAAACTCGAGTTTCAACCGTTCCAATTCATCATCCTTTTCCTGAATTAGCCGATTCAATTCACACAAATCGGTTTCTAGTTTCTCGATTTTCTCATTCAGTTTTGATACTACTATTTCATGCTGGGTGATCATGAAGGCGGTGTGTTGTTGTGTGTTGTGACGAATCTCTTCCATCATTCGTGTCGACTGGACGCGGTCCGTGTACGCCCGAAATCGTCGATTCTCCGTGGTTTCCAGGGCGCATATGGTTCGACTGAGCTGATCGCGGAGGCATTTTACCCTCGTTCTGCGATTTCGCAAACTCTTCTTCCGTGGGGTCCTTAGAACCCTTCTTGCTCCGACCTTTTTTCTTTTTCTCCGTACCGACGGCCCGTTTAGGACATCGTTTAACAGAATATGTGCACAATTGGGCTGAAATGAGAGACACGCACATTGTAAAGAGGCATATTTGACAATACTCTGAACGCAGTGAGTTGTCCTTCAATAATCCTAATTTAAAATGCAGGTGCAGAGATCATTTACATCTGAGGTCGTGTTAGAAACAGATTGTACCATTCAGGTCTCATTATGAAAACACCACATCAGTTCGATGGACTAACGTAGTACTTGACCAATGTAATCGATTATGTTTTTAGGTGTCACCAATCGGGTAATGCCATCCGATTGTGGTGATTAAGTGTTTCTTAGGGTGAGGAACCTAACCATCCAACCTTTTAGCTGCTGTACTTTATTACGCGCTCCATAAAGGACTTGCAACAATTGTCCATTACTTGGTAGCGCACCGTAACTGCAACCTAGCGCAAGAATGAATGCAAGGGATGTCCAGACGCAAGAGACTAAGACAGTAGTTAAGAGTAAGTAGAAAAGTTTCTGTACAACTCTATTGAATTACACAAAATCAAAAACATTTAATTGCAGATTTCAGTGGTAATGTTTCGTCAGTTAATCGTTTATTCTTATTCGGTTAGGAATTCGTATTGGTGTCGTTATCTCCGGGTATAGGATGTATTTTTTGCATTGTATGTGCACCGTCTCACAAAAACACAGGTTTCCAAAATAATCGTCCGTACGTGTTTTGAAACACTTCGTAGAATCGGCCTGCATTATTCCTTCTGGTAGTGTGTTCCGTACGTTTACGCGTCTTCGTTCTGTACGAAGTTTATGTGATACCAAGTATGTACTGTATCTCAAACTGACAGCGCTAGCCTGACATGCGCTTGTCATTTTGGGAACTTGAGGGAAATTTATTTCGTTTGTGTTGGCAATTCATCCACGTGGTTGCACCATTCGGAAAACAGTGAATGGAGAGTAATCTCACCCGATTCGTTGTCCGAAATGACGCTGCCCGAACGAGTAAGTCTCTAAAAAAGGCCTTCACGAAAAAATGCCAAGGCCATTCAATGTAGTGTATTAGCTAGTGACGACATCATTTCGAACCTAGGATATCTCAGACATCGAAGCATCAGAGAAATAGATCCAATTCCACAGGACGTTAATTGGTGATAAAGCACCCTTGACGGCGGAGATGCTATAAACTATATATAGACCTTGTTTACTCCCCTTTATTTTTTTAAGGAAGCCTGGCAGAAGTGAAAATATCCATCTCGAACTCTATACCATCATCATTATCTGTCAAAATTTTTAATCGAGTTGTGGTTGATATGTCTGCAAATCTATTGTGATTATTATTTTTAATTCATCATAGTCTATGTTGTTCCTTATTTACTTGTTGGCAACTTAAGATGACGGATTGCATTTTCCATGCAGAAGAAGTATACCCATGCAAGGCCTACTGCCACTAACTCACTGAAGTGACTGATTAAGAACTACATTGCACCGACATCTTTCCGAAATAAAAAAGAACTGCCAAGACCAAAATCGCCAAATATTGGAACGGGCTGAGTGGTCTTACAGCCCGTAACTTATGTATGAAAACAGCCCTAAAATATTATACAGGTTGATGGCCTACTTGCTACTTTACCACACCGGCCCACAGACAGTTGGGGTATGGAAACGCGGGCGAAAACTATGGAGGAACTACCCTGCATAGAAGCAGGCTTCCTGGGGACGGTTTTATCTATAACCATAGGACATTGCTTGGAAATTCCCGTGATGGAGCTGAACGGTATTGCGCACGTCCCCAGGTTGCGGATCGGGGAAAGCCTTCTTTGTGGAGGTACCTGGGAATAAGTCTAGTCTGCTTCGCAAACGAGATGAATAAGCAGTCGCGGACAATCAGTGGCAGCGTCTCAGAGCGTGGGGAGTTCTGGGTTGGTCACCTGGTTCTCCATCAAACACCACAAGTGCTCGTACGGCGCTGTGTCAAAGCAAATGTGAACGGCTATAGGGTCACTTACTACCACCTACTACTACTTACTCCTACTACTTCTGTAACTGGAGGTGAGTATTTAACGGGTGACAGATAAACAACCTTGTTGACCACTGGCTTCCCTGTGGACTGTAACCGAACACGAAGAAGGTGAATGAACCGCTTCGCGGTCAACGGTCTTCGTATTCGCTCCGCTGCCTTGCGGGTCAGGCCACTAAGACCAAAGCCTCGGGGTCAACCCTCTTCCTTGATCTGCGCAACCGGGAAAATCACTGCCCCCCACAATATATGGCCTACGTATCTCTGCGCCTGACTCACTCTTTTCCTCTTTTTGTTGGTACTCATGTGCTGTGGCTCTCTGCCAAATGTGTATTGGCCAAGCAATATATATATATATTATATATTATGTATAATATATTGTTGCTTGACCATTTAGATAAATCTGTATTTGTTATTGTTCCCAGTTTCTTGCTCTCGCTAAAACCTACGAACTGCCAATGATTACAAAAATAGGTTTGGGTGCCGCTGTATATAAAGTGAATAATTAACTATTTTATACTAGCTCATTTTACAAATGGATCAGACCACTCAGTTGGACTGTTGAAAAATACACCGTTTATATGTTTATTTATTTATAATGCCGATGATATCCGAAGCTTGTTTTCACCAGGGAGTGCAGACAATGTGGCCTGAGGATTCACATGTGAACTAGACAGATTTGCACTCCTCTGTGCGTACAGCACTAACAATTCCACTTATTGAATGCGAATAGATTTTATCTGGCTTTTTCATTAGGGTATTCAGCCTAAAACTTTGGACATTGAACTAACCGTCTATGGCTGGCGTTGTGTGGAGCCCATTAATATGTGTTCTCTATGGTCCACTAGTTCTAGGTGTCTCGTGAATAAAAAGGGCATCCGCAGAACACTGACATTTCCTGCCGACGCTTCGCTGGCACATGGCCACCACTAGCTGCATGCAGACTACGAACATTACGAGGTCGTCCTCATTTACCTAGGCTATAACCGGCAGTGAAGCTCAACAGTTAGTGCAATTACAGCAGCTGGCTTGGCATCCTTATTTATAATGAAACAATTTTCTTTACAGATTTTGACGTGTACCGCGGCTACTGTACTCGCCAGTTTGGATTGCGGTGCTGCAGAGGTACACCGACTACTCGACAATCTTGATGACATCAATTCTGCTAGGCATGATGGGTTCCAACCACTGGTTCTCAAGTCCGTATCGGCCATCTCCCGCACCGTGGGCTGAATTGTTCAACAGGTCTCTATCCGAAGGGTCACTGCCGAGCGATTATTAAAGCTCAGCAGTAAAGTCGACTCCGGAAGTCGATGATCCCAGCAAAATAGACAATTACGCACCAATTTGTCTGCCCACTGTTTTGGCCAACGTTACCGAGAAGACCGTGAGAAAGGATATATTAGCAGCTACTCCAATCAAGAAATTTACTGACACCTGCACACCACGGTTTCATGTTAGGCCGCTGAGCCATAACCTACCTATTCGTGACGAGAGATTAATGATAGAAGATAAATAGTAATGTGACAGTTGTACGGCATAACGGTACCAGGGCCCATTCCATTCACAATCCACATCATTGATGTGCCTTGTGCCCTGGTTGCGGACGACTTGAAGATTTGGTGAGTGAATGGCACGCCGACGACTTCCGCCTACTTCAACAAGACCTCAACCGTCTCTTCATGCGGTCGGCAGAACCAACCAATACCAGAGTACGGCTTTTCCTCCCAATGTTCGTTCACTCGAGACGAAGCACAGAAAATCAATCAGATCCAGCACGTAGCTACCAGGCGTATCCCGAGTTTACGCGGCTCTCCGTACGAAAACTGGTGCGAGAAACTAGGACACTATACGGGAGAGCCTATGTGCGCTGAGGCTGGTGGTGGCTAGATCCTGACAGATGATCTACCCACTGCTGCTACTGTTGCGCCATTGGCTCATGTCCTGGATGCCTTGTGGCGACCGCTGAGTGGGAGTTGGGTTTCGCCGTTCTCTCTGCTAAGATCCAGGACACCAAACCGCATGAGTCAGTGAACTGACCATGTACTAAACCTGTTGCATTCCGCGTGTACATTTAATCGAAGGCTTTGGCTGAGGACCCGAGTCGTTACCCTGTCAGGAGTAGGCGCCCTGGCAGTATCCTAGTCCATCCTCTTCGGAGGTTAGGAAATGGTCGATGGCCCTCTTCCTGTAAAACCTAGCCATGGGAGATAACCGGTCTACGGGTTATAAGCTCACAGCTCGATTGGCGTAGAGCGCGAGCACCACGCATTGTCTCTGATGGTGGGAGGGCACCTCCTGGTGTTCAATGGTTTGCTACTGCCCGCTTCAAGCCAGGCAGTCTCTGGTAAAATTGGTGCAAACCCGCCAAAACCCACCTGCGTCTGGTCGTGGTCGCAGGTGTATCCTAGTACGGTCGCAAATCATATATAAACTGTTCCAGTACCTCAAAGGCTACGTGTGACGGCCGTCATGCAGATCCCAATCTGTCTCTGCAATCACATTCCCGGGCTGGGTCTGCTCTCCACTGCCTTGTGGGTCAAATTATTGTGCCAAGGTCTCCGGACGGAGTCCCTCAAGCAAACCTCCAAACCACCCACTGCCTTGTGGGTAAGGCTATTGAGCCAAATGCTCCGGGTGGAATCCCTCAAGCAAACCTCCGAAGCACAATGACCATCTCGAGTGCGATTGCCCACCAATGCAATCGTATGCCCGTGCGCAAAGCATTCAGCATCGGGTGGTGGAACGTGCGCACACTACTGGCCCGGAACTTCAGTGAGCGCCGCGATCGACACTT